AATGGCGTGAAGGGTTAATTCGTAGTTCCGGCAATATCCGCCAGAGCGGCGATTCTGTGCACCCCGTTCGACCTGTGCTTTCGAGGTTCGCTTATATACGTGTCTTATATATCCACGGTATCCTACCATATCCCCTTTCTATTCTGACCTATCCGATCGCTGCTGACTGGACTGGGTATCGACCCCTGGAGACACGAGCTTCCCTACATCTTTCCACCCCTTTGCTTGCACGTTACGAAGGATCCCACCGTTTTCCTTCCGGCTTCTATCCTTTGGAGTGTACCTATCTTATCCCACCAGGATTTTCAGTACTTTCTCCATCATACCCTTTTTCTCTCTCTTTCTCTCTCTCTTTCTCTCTCTCTCTCTCTCTCTCTCTATCTCTTTCTCTTTCTCTCATTTATCTTTCTCTCCCCTTAGCGTGTGTACAGTTCTAATTTGTATACCGTGGATGACGATCGTCGTAACTTAGTTCTAAAACTCGAAGCTCCAAAGCGAGAAGCGCTAAAGTAGCCTGATGAATACGAGGTCGAGCTTCTCCGGACCCGGCAGCAATCTTATCGATTGTCTTAGCCCACCTACCGTGACACACTCACCCTCTCTCTCTCTCTCTCTCTCACTCTCTCTCTCTCTCTCTCTTTCTCTCTCTATCTGTCTTCCTCTTCTCTTCTTCTTCTTTCTCTTTCTTCCGCCAGAACAAACCGTCTTATTTACTCTGACCCTCCTTTCTTCGTCCTTCTCGCTTTCTACTTAGAAGAAGGAAGTATCACCAGCGACTAACGACCACCAGTCAGCTTACGTGTCCAGTTAACTTCGTCCTCGTTCTATGTAGCGTAGAGAGAGAGAGAGAGAGATATGTGTGTGTGTGTGTATGTGTGTATGTATGTCTATATATGGAGTCCACCCTCCTCCCTACACTCCTTCTCTTTCCTTCCCAGATCTTGTACGAGACCGTGAGACTCGCAAGGGCAAAGAAAGAAAGAAAGAGGGAAAGAAAAGAGAGATAAAGAGAGATAGATAGAGATAGTAGTAAGAGAATACAAAAGGGACGGGGCAAACGAGGAAGACGCGAGAGGTAGTTGGACACGAGTCTTTGCCAACGTTCTATTTAAAGCAAAGCGGTAGTAGCAGTAGCTAGTTCTAGCTTGCTAGCTGACTGGTAATTTACGAGCTTATACCAAAAAAGTTGGACACTTTGGGGATGGCTCCGCACTTTGACACGTGACCCACTTTTATCAAGTTACGTAATTGATCACCTCGCGCCTGCCCGGTTAGCGAATGTACGATGGCGACCTCTTCCCCTTTCTACCTGTCTTCTACTCTTTCTCTCTCTCTCTCTCTCTCTCTCTCTCTCTTTCTCTTTGTCTATTTCTCTTTCTCTCTCTATCTGTCTCTGCATAACATAACGGCGATGCATCGCGACTGTACACGCGTGAAAGTGGATAATACCCTCTTGATCCTCGGATTATACAAACCTGCCTACGATCATGAACTACGAGATAATGAATATTATGGAGTAAGGACTCTAAATTCCAGCTCGTTTATCCTCGGTAGCATGTTATCGGTAGCTTTGTTGGCTCAGTTTTATCCTAATTTAGTCGAGCCTATCGATCCCGTAGAAAATTCCTATCTCGAAGTAATAGTAGTAGTAGTAGTAGCATTAATAGTAATAGTAGTAGTAGCAATAGTAGTAGTAACACTAGTAGTAGTAGTAGTAGTAGTAGTAGTAGTAGTAGTAGTTTCGTTCCTCTTCTTGTTGGGAAGATTGTAAATGAAAGGTCAAGTCACGTGCGTCTTTAACTACATCGGGATCGATAGTAATCATTACAATTAGAACTCTCATAGAATGAAATAATCGTTACCGAGTTTTCACGTTAACATTGACCAATCAACCAACAGGAAGCATCTTCATTTGTTATCTTTTACGAACAGAGCTCGTTATCGTCGATCGTCCGTAGTTCGTTTTCACAAACTAACTCACAGACTTTTGCTTTCTGGGCACGGATTTTCTATATCGTCAGCCATTGTCTCCGGTTGTCTCCCTTTCTACGAATCTTTGCCGACGTTGCAGAGGAAACTCTCGTCGATCGAAGAGATACTCATCGATCAGAGTCAGAACATTTTCTATCCTTTTCCATTAACGTACGCCGTTTTCAAATCAATAGGCTAATTTCGAGGCTCACGATTCGGTCGATGTGTCTGATGTCACCGCAGGAACGTCGAGTAATTAGAACACACCAAGCGAACGTGCTCGCTATTGGATTCCCTTTTGTACCCGATCTCTAATCTTCCTTCTCCATCATCGGTCTTCGATATCATAATGTATAAGCATGAACGATTACAGACCCCCTTTTTCGTATATCTACGTTTCGCGATTAACTCTTTTAAAAAAAGAAGAAAGTAAGAGATCTTTCATTTTTTTCTCCTTTCTTTTCTTGATTCATCGATCGAGATGAAAGAATTTTTACGATAACATTTTCAATATAATATTTGATTTACTCGAACGATCGAATAAAATTTTTTCGAGGAGAAACGTTTGGATATCCAAAGAAATCAATTCGCTCGTGAGTAAAGTTATTGTTTGACATTGGTACGATCGTCGATATTAACCTTTTGAAGTTAATCATCGTACGAAGGGTCATTTCATTTTCGAACGAAAATTCGCCTGGAGTTATCCGCTCTCGATTATGACCTAGAGGCTAAATTATGAGGCTGTACGAGGAAAGCTTCGAGAGTTCACCATGAGGTTGGACACGCTCGAATCGCTGGAGGAATTAGTAATAGTGAGGGGTGATGGTGGTGATGATGATGGTGGTGGTAGTAGTATTCGTGCAGGACGACAACGACATATGCATGGTTTTCGTGTACAGTCCTCTTCACACGTTAACGTTGGCACACGTGGTATAGTGTACTTATATCTAGGCAGCGCTTAAATCCATATAAATACGTGCCCATGAATCCGGCCATTAATCAGATTCGCGATACGGAATAGAGGGGGAGGGGAAGTTGGAGCGAGAAAGAGTCTGGAGCGCAAGCTCGAGTGATTTTTACCAACCACCCTCTCTTTTCTCTCTCCCTCTTTCCGTTCTCTCTCTATGTATATATATATATATATATATATATTTTTTGCTGATATCTATAGACCAGGAAGGAGACTGGTTCCAGGGGTCACTAGAAGATGGCGGCACCTCCATTAAAATTCGACACGAACCTTCTGCGAGAATTCGATGTATGCTGTGTCATGCACCGACTTCTCTGTGCGCGTATCCCGTGTTTCTATGTTTGTGTATGTTTATGTGTATGAGTGTATGTCGCTTACATGTAAGGATAGGACAGGAGAGGTAGTTCTATGAGTTTGCAAGCGTACCTCAGCGTCTCTTGCGGCACGAATGCGCATTTCTTGTGTGTAGGTGCGAACCTGCTGGGCACTCTGTTTCCTTTTCTCTCTCTCTCTCTCTCTCTCTCTTTTTCTTTCTTTCTGTCTCTCTTTTTCTTTTACTCTTCTTTCCTCTTTTTTTGCAACCCCTTTCCTCCACGTCGTAGGCTGTGAGTGGAATATGGTTTAGGCGACTACCAAGAGGGAAATCGTGCATCCAGTACTACCGCTTCTATTACGCAATAAGAAAACTATTTCCATCGCGTTTCACGTTTTGAAGAAACTTTTTATTGCGACCCCCTTTTTTTTTCTTTTTTTTTTTTTTCGTTTCCTCTACCTCTAACTCTATACCTCCCTTCGTTTTTGTTCTTTTTTTGAACTCGTAATATATTCGAATAATTTCGCGACCGGACGTCGCACGGAAGTGTACGAGACGTGCCCTTTTGACGAACGCGGAATAAGGTTTACGATCGCGCATTTTCCTTTTGATTTACAAGTGTTGGACGTTGTAAAGCCGTTGCGACCGGAGGAAGAGCACGATCGTTATCGCACATATGTATAGGAAGGTATACAACGTGTAAAACGAGATGGAATTTTCGTTGGAAAGGATTTAGTCGATTTATACCGATAGATACTATCCCGGATGAATAACGTTTCGTGTACGAATCAGTATGAAATATATTGGTTGCGGAAAAAAAGAGAAGAAAAAAAAATAGCGAGAGAGAGAGAGAGAGAGAGAGAAATAGAGAGAAAGAGAGAAGCCCAAGATTATCGAACTGCCACTGTTAGGAGGGAGAAGGAGCGAGAGCGGTACCGGAAAGTACGTGCAAGGCCGGTACGGTTTCGAACGGCACGAACGAATTTCGTCCTCGATGTAACCTTCTCGCTAACATTATTTTCACGGAGGAGAAACTACGGGAAGGTATAAGGGTTATCAAAGTTGTACGGTCTCGAGTCGAAAGAGCCGGTAAGTATTAGCGCGCGAGTATAGCGAATGATTATCGCTCGCCAAGGGGTTGTTGTAAGGTTCGACGCGACGTTTTATTTCGAGGAGCACGAACGCGAAGGTGGAGGAGAAAGAGGAATAGAAGGAGGAGGAGGAGGAGGAGGAGGAGAGTATGATCCCACAGGGTTTCGTAGCCTCTAGCTTGGTGGATAATTTGCATTCTCGGTAATCCTTAATTTACAACTCGAGCGAGTTTTCAACCAGAGAGCCGGCATATCGCGGCGTCGTTTCTATGTCGGTGGTGGTGATGCTGGTGGTGCTGCTGCTTTGCCGCTCGTGGCAGAGTGCAGGATAACGTTGGCTCGGTGAGAGGGTGGGTCGAGAGGGTGAATCGAAAGAGGGTGGCTCGAGAGAGAGAGAGAAAGAGAGAGAGAGCTGGTGGGGGAAGCTCCTCGGCCAGGGCCCGTAGCCGAGCCTCGGAAGTCTGACCGACCAACCGACCGAATCGCTGCTACTACTGCGCTCTACACATTCGGGTGGGGATAGCTGAGCGAACAGCGAGCAAGCGAACGAAGTGGTGGGATACTGTTAACACTGTGGTGGAGAGGAGAGAGAGAAAGAGGGATAGAGAGAGAGAGAGGGGGACGACGAGCGGAGTGCTCGGGAGTCGCGGGTTGGCTCACTCTGCGGCTCCCGCCGCTCGGGAGCAGACACGCGGGGCCAAAGACTAATTTGAACTATTTTATTAACATAAAAACAAAACAAATACATATTTGTAAATAACACTTTAAGAAGCCAACAACACGAAACTATTAAATAACGCGCATACAATACGTCACGTCGTACTTCTCCTTAAGAAGCTCTTAAATCTACTACTACTACTATCTTCTTATCGAAATCTTTCAAAGCCTCTTGTATTAAAATACGAGAAGGAAAGGAAGGAAAACGCACAGCTGAAGGAAGGGGTGGAACGTACGCGACGCGATCGCCGTCGAAGAGGCATTCGCGTCCTATCGGCCTGTGGTCGGGGCGAGCGTGAGAGAGAGAGAGAGAGAGGGACTGAAAGATAGAGAGAGGTAGAGAAAAAGAGGGAGAGAGATAGAGGGAGGTGGTAGAGAGAGAGAGAGAGAGAGAGAGACCGAAGAGAGATATCAGCATCCTGATTATTATCAAAAGACGAACGACGCTAAACGAATAAGCTGAACGTAGGAGAAAAGGAAAGAAAGAGATTCTCTGGTTTCTGAACTTATCTCCATTGGTCGTTGAGTGAATTAGAAGGAAGGAAAAGTCAAAAGGGCGAGTGAGCGCACGTGCCGCGATAACGAAGGGAAGCGAGGGTGAAAGTTTAACAACGAGAAAGAAAGGAAGGAAGGAAGGAAGGAAGAAAGTAAGTAAAATAAGGAAACGCGTCGACTCTGAATCTCCGTTTTGAGTTCTCTCTGTAACTGTGTGACCCTTACATTATTTTGTCCCTCCGGCTGGGGACAGGTTCAGTGTTGTAACTTAGGATATAAGAAGAACAGAGTTTCGGAGCGTACAACAAAAAGGGAGAGAGACCGATAAAGAGTGAAGGAGAGTGAGCGTAAACGAGAATAAGAAAGAGACAAAAGAAGAAGAAGCTGATAGAGAGGAGGAGAGTAAGTTCCTTCTAAGTAGAAGGGGAGGAAGAAGGAAGGACGGGGTAAGACTTTGCTAGAAGGGTGACCTACCCTCCAAGAACGGGGCTCCAGTTTTTTATACTAGTTCGAAGAATTTTAAGAAGAAGAATAAAAAGAAGGAGAGGAGTATCGGCGACGAGAGGATCGAACTGCTATAGACAGACAGATAAAAGAGAGAGGAAGATATATATATATATACATATATATATATATATATATATCTAGTGAGAGAAAAAGCAGCAAGAGGTAGGAGGAAGAAGGAGAGGAGGCAGGAGGAGGTGGAGGATCGATCCTATGCGCGATACCGTTTCCATAGCACGCTCGTGCCTCCACGTGCGCTCGTTGCAAGAAGCGTTCTCGACGTAGGTAAAGCCTGACACAGGAAGTGTCGAAAAGGCTAGAAAGAGAAACGCGTAAGAGGGAAAGGGAGTGTTCGAGAGAGAGAAAAAGAGAGAGAGAGAGAGAGAGAAAGAGAGAGAGAGAGTGAGAGAGAGAGGAAGAGGCGAAGGAGGAAAAATAAACTAGCACGTTATTTCGAGCGAGTGTGTGTGTGAGAGAGAAAGAGTCAGAGTGTGTGTGTGAGAGAGAGAGAAAGAAAGAAAGAGAGAGAGAGAGAGAGAGAGAGAGAGAGAGAGAGATAAAGGAAAGAGAAAGATAAAGAGAGAAAGAGAAAAGGCCGGAAACGAGCTGGCTCGTGTGCACAATCCTCCAGGGGATATGTCCTGCCGTTCCAAGGGGAGCCATCCTACGCGAGCACAAACCTTAGCGCGCAGAGGGCATCGGCAAGCCGATCGTATCTTCATTCTTGATCCTGGTATTAAAGTGTCTTGACGAAAAGAGAATCATCGTCATCATCGTCAGAGCAACACCAACACCAGAAATAGCAATAGCAGCAATAACAACAGCAGCAGCAGCAGCAGCAACAGCAGCAGCAGCAGCAGCAGCAGCAGCAGCAGCAGCAGCAGCAGCAGCAGCAGCAGCAGCAGCAGCAGCACTAGCAACGGCAGCAGCGCCGGCAACAACTCTCAAGCGGTTATCGCTAGTACGATCCTGACGGAGGATCTCCAACGGTTAGCTAGCACGAGGAGGGCGCAGTCGTCCAAGCGAGAAGGACTGCTGGCTCCTTCGACTGGGCCGACGACGGCGAGACCGACGAGACCGACTAGCTCAGCGACGAGCTCAACGACGAGCTCCTCGACGAGCGTCATCATGCCGGCAAGAGCTCAACGAGCGCGTACCGCTACTACCACCACTACCACCTCGTATGGTCGAGGACGATGACGATCGGCCACGATCGGTAAGATCAACGCGAAGGTCGCTCGAGCGAGCGTTACGGAGATGGCGAACTACAATCATACGAACGCACAGCGCGTCGTCTACCACGCGAATCACCCGACGTCTCTTGCCCCGAGTGAGTCTCCCAGCCTCTCTTCTTCTTTCTTCTTCTTTTTTATATTTTCTTTTTATTCTTCTTCTTCTTCTTTTCTTTTTTTTATTTTTTTTTTTTATTTTTTTTTTTTATTTTTTTTTTCTTTTTTATTTTTATTTATTTCTCTCCTTTCAGCATAGAACGCCACTCATCGTGGGACTTTCCGCTTTTTCTCTTTTCTCTTTTCTTCTTCTCTTCTCTTCTCTTCTCTTTCATCTTTTCTTTTTTTTTCCTTCTTTTTCTTTTTCTTTTTTTCTTTTTTTTTTTTTTACCTTTATTTCTTGGCACTTCTAACCAAGCATTTTCAAGATCCTTCCATGAAAGAAAGACATTGTTTATGCATTTACTTTATCATCCTTATGACCAATATAGCCGTCGCAATATCTTCAAGAAACTTTTGCATAAAGTTCACAATGACTTCCCTTATCATCTGAAGGAAGTTGATTGATAACAATAGATTTTTCTTTATTACAACTTTCCTATGAATCAAGCAGCTATTGAAACTCACCAAAGTCTTATTAATATTTTCATATATATTCTAGCTATTTATCGCAATTGGGGATTTTAATTAAATACGATCTTAAGATCGTATTCATTGAAGTTTTATAAACTTCCACGGCCTATAGAAAGATTTCTACGATAAGAGGACCGACGAACTTAGTTTTTATTAGTTAATTTACGTCATTCGGTTACGTCTTCGTCGTCGTCGTCTCTCTCTCTCTTTTTTTATTTTTATCTTTTTTTTTTTTCTTTTCTTTTAAACACCATACATTTTAAACATTTTTCCGCGAATAAAAAAGAATGTGTAAAATCCCTACAGCGATGCTTTAAAACGATTATCCCATTAAATGCCAACGAAAGTTTCCTCTCACTTTACTCGTTTAGATAGATTTTAATAGTCGAATCGTTCGATACCTAAATGCTTTAATTCATATACCTACATATCGAGATTTTATATCAGGGCTTTTAATTTTTCGAAACGCTTGACATAGTTTTTCACAATTTTTCCCGCATCGCTTTACTTAACGTCGACGAAAGTTAAATGGATATGCACCGACGAGGGTCGAAGTATTTTTATCCTACTATTACAGTTTTTTCTTTTCCCCTATTTTTTTTCTTTCTTTCTCTTTCTCTCTCTCTCTCTCTCTTTCTCTTTTTCCTTTTAAACTATGCACTTTCTCTCTCTTTCTTTCTCTTTCTCTCTCTCTTTCTCTCTCTCATCAATCGCCCGTCAAGTTTTTCCGTGCGATAAGAATTACTTTAGCTCTCGGTGTATACGTAATATTTCCGTTTGAGTGAGATGAATCGACATAAACTACGAACGGCGAATGGTTTAAACTACGAAAGTTTTCATAGAGAATGTAGGAAACCGAGCCAAATTGCAGAGAAGAAGTTTTGCTTTCGACGGCCAGAAATTCAGTTTGTGTACTCAACGTTGAAGCGTGCACAGTTGTTTCACACATTTTTCAGATTTTACATGAACGGATAGATTAAAATGTGAGGATATGATGTTTTCGTTATTTTTAATAGATCGAATTTGGATTGGGATGAGAGGAGGTGGGAGAGTAAGGGAGAGAAGCTATAGGGTAAGGGGGGGGAGGAGACCTTGTAACAGTTGAGAGAGTGATATATATAAGTTGTATTTTTGTAAAATATTTTCTTCGAAATGGATATTATTATTGATTTTAATTAGACAGAATGGCCTCATTTACGTAGCGTGCGCTTAGTACTTATACATACTTACATTCGCCATCCTCATTATACAAACGTTACATGCGTGTGTCCTAAATATTAGACAAACCGCGCGTCGTGGCAACCAATTGCCACGAAAATTTAAATTGAAAAAGTATCTTACGTATATATATATATATACGTTTATAAACTGTCATTCATATTTATGTTGGATATATATGGTTTATGTAGATAATGTCGGTACGTTTTTATTCTTATTTTATAAAATATTATAAGAAATTTCATCGTTTCTTTTGTGATAAAGAAAACAT